TACGCCATACAGTGTGCTATGAAGGAAATTTTGCCCGGACAGCGGCGCTAAGGCCTACTCTTATAGCGAATTCTAACTGCCAAGGGATCTTTTACGTGCAAGCCAATGTGTACAGGGGACCTCGGTTTTTCGTCTCACCCGAACTCCAGACTAGCGAGCCAGCGTCTTACTCACTTAGCCACCGTGACCACGTTAAAAATAATAAATAAATAAACAAACGCATAAAATACGTTTTATGGAACTAGTTTCTTTAATTTGAAAATTCGTCACCTTTCAACCTTCATACAGAGGTCGTTCTCAAGCAGTTTGTCATTCTCTTTTCTCAATGAGAACGGCTTCCTTATAAAGACTGAAACAAAATGAAATACAGGGGGTTTAACGTCCTACTTTTCTGCACGTATAAAAGATTGAAACGTGGTACATTTTCAAATGGCGGTGTCATAAAACAATTTTTGTCAACTATTCAGTTTCTAAATGACATTCAGTTTTTATTTTTCAAATTAATTCTTTTTCAATTATGATTAAGTATAATCACCAATACTACTTAATTTCCTTGTTTGTAACTTGTACATTGAACGATATTTGATACGAACTGCCCTATCTAATGTTACGCGTATGATGTGAATTACTCCTTCGAGCAGATATATATAAGGCGTTTAGTATTTAACAATATTTTCCTCGCGGCAAAATTTGTTTTATTTTCTTGTAGGAAACATAAAACTATAATCATAAGATAAGACTTATAAATATATCCGTCAAGTGGTCTACAAAAGTAAATAAAACACTGACTGAGACATGTCGAGTATCAGGTAGGCTGACAAAATTATTCATGTATACTAAACCTAGACTGTAAGTTCCGCAATGAAGGCTGAGGAGAAAGGATGTCTTGACGTTAAAACATTTTTAAATAGAGAATGAGAGAGATAACTGGGGTTTAACGTCAACTCGACACAAACTAGGTCATTTCGGGCCTAACATACGGTTCAATTTCATTTCATTAATTCGCTTGGCGTAGGGGTCTTTAGCAGTGAGAGGAAACCGTAGCACCCGGAGAAAACCCACGAAGATGATCCTACTCCTTGGCACGTACAAGCGAGGAATCGAAACCACGCCACTTGACTCAATGCCAATGGCAGACCACTACCACCCCACAGACACCTAAATATTTAAAGGAGGAAACCTAATTATTTTGATTTAGGTCCAAAATAAAGTATTAAATTGGTTTCATCTGATGTAATTTGTTATTTTGATTACTGATGGGTCACGTTCTACACGACTGAACTTTTGTTTTGAAAATGTTAACTTGTTTACATTTAGTTGCATGTTTGGGTTTATGTGTCGACAGTGAAACATTGGCTTTATCTACATAGACGTATAATTTCAAACACATTGTCATCCTATAAAAAAAATCAACCTATATATAAAATCCAATAAAATCGACAAGTTTATTTTCAACCTGAATCAACAGGGGCCTACTCATTTCAAATATGTGATGATCGTACAAATTTTACACAAAGGTACCCCGTCCCCACCTTCGCGCCCCTTACAGCTCATTGTAGATAATTAATTAATAATGCCAATGTTGGAGTCCAATAAAAGACATCTCTAAAATATTAATACAATTCTTAAAGATGTCATTTACTTTTGTGAAAACCCCCAACCCAAAACCGTTTTAAAAGTAAATTGGTTTAATTACCTCAGTGTTAATTCTGGACGAATCGTAACAGTTACATCATAAGCTGTATTAGTGTTGAATTTCACCGTGTTACATCTAGAAAATCTCTGGCCGTCTTGCTTGTGTACCACAGGATCCTCGGTGTTATGTTTCTTTAACCCAAGGGTGATTTTAAAAGCGTTGTTCTCCATTACAAATCCTCCCTGTTGCTGCGTTGTGTAGTTTCAGCTGTATGTTTTTATTACGGTTCTACATCACAATGCTAAATGATTTAAAGCTCCATGTAGACTTCTCATAGTCCGGTGCCAACAGTCAAATACCCTCGACTAATTACAAAGCACTCGAGAGAATCTCCAAGGTATTAAACTAGTAACACTGCAGCAAATTAACTCGCTGTATTCCTCAACAACGAGCTGCTTTGAAGACGGCAATCAATATAACAGTACGCTCCAATTTAATGTCAGTACAGGCTTTATAATATTCTCAATGATACGCACACACAGATAGAACTCCGGTTGAGGCAGGTTCCTCGTTTTTCTCTAAGAATAGCGCATGAGCACAACAGTAAACGTACACAACATTGTGGTTTTAACTAAAATAAAATGTAGATTTGTTTACCTCTGGGTTTTCCCCTATGGTGTTCACGGTGTGAGCGAACTGTCAAAGGCTATGCGTACAAAGATAAGATAAAGACTGACTCTGTGTCTTATATATATATATAGATATATGTCAGTTAGTGATTAATTAATGGCCTTTACCTTTCAATATAAACGCGACCCGTGTCCTAGCGTATTACATCAGTTAAAGTTAATAGCTTGCAGGTCTATAAATATACAGGCAGTTATGAATGACTCCGTATTCGCTTTGTTCTATTTTATTGTAATTTATAGGTTGGCTATTGGCTTAATATACATAATACAGTTAGCAATGAGCAAATTTTCCTCTTAAAACAAACGAAAAACGTCATAAGGAACTCGGTTTTCTATTTGGTATAGCTAGCTCTATATGGTATGGGCTTCTGTTTAGATTTGGGGTCCATGAAAGTCGAGCTAAATCGGAAATTGATTTTCGACTAAAGTGTTTCGGGTTAGAATTCCGGCGTGTGATTGATATGGCAATACCGTTGTCTAGTCGTTCGGATGATGGGGTGAAACAAACCGAGAAACCTTGACAGTTGGAATTCGATAATGATCATAATATACACGGAAAAGCCGCTCTTCGCGCAAAATTATCCTCCCTATAGTATTGCCTGCCATAGTATTGCCACGGACCTTAATATTAGGTCCATGGTATTGCACAAGTTACCACACGTGATAAATAGAAATCCATAACCGTATGTTAGTCTCGAAATGAACCAGATATTAAAGTAGCTAAGTCTCTAACTCGATATCATCCAAAGTCTTCGACATTGAAAATACGAATTATTTGTCAATTTAAATCAATATTGATGTTGTGATCTTACCGGGAAAAGATGGCCTTCTGACATCCAATATTTAAGACAAAATAAACATTTTACCTTTGGTACACGAATCGTGTACCATAATGCGTTTCAACGCCATTTGTAACAAGGGACCCGAAGAACGAGGCTAGGCATATGCCACAAGTCATGTCAAACGGTGACGCTATATTCTGATCTGGAGAGCATGCGCAATAAATACTTTCTATGTAGACTGGAATAGCCAGACGCTAGAGATTGCCATTAGATTGAGACTTCTGGTGTATTTCGCCGAACATAACTGATTTGAAATTAGAGTGAAACCGGAAAAGATTGAATGTAAATAATCAGTTGATATACATTCATATTACATTATTATACGAGTTGCGACCCATTTGTGTCAATTTCTAGGTCCCAAATATTAGCGATTAATTAGCTCCTTTAAATGGCGGAAGTATTGGGTTGATAAGACATCAAACCCCATTCATCGTTAGATTTAATTTAGTGGAAAACGACATGTGTTCCGTACAGAGATAACGAATTCGTTTGATCTTTTTATAGGCTAGAAGGTTGGCTATTTAGGTATATATAGCATACATCAAGCAGCCTAAATAAAATAAGGAGCGGTATATATATTGCAAACGGAATGTCGCATTTTGGCCGGAAAGACCAGGTAAGATAAGGTCCATGGAAAAATAAAAGACACGAGACTGGCAGCCTAAATAAAATAAGGAGCGATAGCACACGGACTGTAGCTTTTTGGCGGGAAGAGCTAATTGACACGAGACTGGACGATGAGTTGTATAGATTTGGACATAACAAGAAATGAAATGAAATGGGGTTTAACGTTTTAGACAAAACAAATTAAATAGAGATATGTTACACAGATCTAGAAACAAAATAACCACCATTTAAAATGACCAGCGACAGTCCTGCTCACTATTTGGTACTCGGCTGGTTTATATTTGGCGGGAAAAAAGCCAAACGTCACGTGTTTCTTTCGAAGTGGCACGAGTTAATGAGTTATATAGCTGTAAAAAAGTATTAAACTAGGTGTTGCCAGGAAAAGAACGCCCACCAGCAGCTTTTCAAGGAGTAGCTTTCAAGTCCAGGGACAATTACTACGCATTAAATAGTTAAATAGACGAGTGTTTCCGCTATATGCAGCGTTCAAAGAACGCACTATTTATGGATAACAATTACTATGGTTTATTTCACTGCGACGTTTTAACAAGATTCCACAAATCGTTATCAAGCATATATCAACACAAATAAATAAAATGAAATATGCAGGGGTGTTTTACTACATTAAAAAGAAGGTCGACCCTGATCAAATGAACGGAAAGGCGAGTGTTGTCACCAGTGCAACGTATGCACGAAGCTGGGGGGTCTGTGTGTGTGTGGGGGGGGGGGCACCTCTAGAACAATTTCTGAAGAAGGGATATTTGGTAGATTCTGAGGTATATATTTGTAAACAAAAACAACATGTTATTCCCTTGGTGGTTGAAATTATTGCACACGTCTTGTCAAACCTGGCAATAGAGTAATTTGAATGAAATTTTCAAATTATTCATTTTACATTATCTATTTTCGAACTATTATAGCAAGAATGGCTAGCTCTTTACCTAAATCTTACATAATGTCTCTTTAAGTGATAAAACAAACACACTGGCCACCATTCAAGTAGACACAGAACATAGTCTAGACATCAGAGCCTGACCTACCCACCACAACACCCCTGGTTACATCTTCTAGTAATTCAATATCATTTGCCTAAAAACAGTTCAAGCAGGGGTGGATTTGCTGGGAAATACTAGTTTCTATGGCGATATTTCTATAGATTAAAATAGGGGTTAGGCATAGACACAACTTATCTTTTAATATTTTCTATGAAAAGCTTTTATTAAACTGTACTTGGTACATAAACAAAATAACAAAAAAATCATTATACATCATTGATTTAACATTAAATAATAAAAAATAACACATCTATAGATATATAATTGTAAAGATTTTTTCTAAAATGTTGTATTTCAAAATCCAGATTCCTTGGCAAATTGAAAATAACAAAACCAAAGTGATTTGATATTATATTACTGACCTTAAAAAATGATTTTCATCTTGTAATTTATGCTTTTACTCATAAATAATTTCTGATTTATGCTTTTACAAATAAGAACTAAGGTCATTTTGGGACTAACATATGGTTCAATTTTATTTCAATAATTCACTTGCGCTTCGGGGTCTTTAGCAGTGGGAGGTCACTAGAGGATGCGGAGAAAACCCACAAGGTTGGACAGGCAACCCTACTCTTTGTCACATACAACCAGGGAATCTTACTAATAAACACTATCTGTTTTATGCTTTATCTAATAAGTACTATCTCTTTTAGTCTTTCACTAATAAATACTATTTTGATTTATGCTTATATTTCAGTGTGTATTGCAATATTATAACAGACAATATCAAATACACTATAATAACACATAGATATCATCATTCTATTACTATTATTACAGACAATATCAAATACACTGTAACAACACATAGCTATCATTATCCTATTACTATTACAACAAACAATATCAACACAGTAATAACACATAGATATCATCTTTCTATTACTATTACAACAAACAATAACAGATACACTGTAATAACACATAGCTATCATTATCCTTGTAATAACACATAGCTATCATTATCCTATCAGTGTTATAACAGATAATATCAGATAATCATTATCCTATTACAACAAACAATAACATATACACTGTAATAACACATAACTACAGTCAATCTATTATATTATACTAATGATCATCAACTACAATCTCTAATAAAAATTATCGGTCCAAAAACGGTTAAATTCTATAAAGTATTTACAAAGATATAGTGAATTGGAAATTTGGCAACATTCTGTATCCACTGCAGATGAAATAAACAAGTGGTTTTGGTTAAAATCTCTTGATATGTCTGTTTAATCTGAATACATCAAAGCCAGAAGATTATCAACTGTTGATAATTTGGTTTTTATTTCTTAAACATACATTATGCAAGAGCTAAATCTGCCAATTGCAGCTCTTTCTTTAGGCCTGAAATGTTTTCTTAATTATTCATTAGACATTAATCAACTCTTGATGGCATTGCTAGCCTGCGATGTTTATTGGATTAGGTTCTGATTTGCTTTTCAACTACCATTCATAATTAAATTGCTAAAATCTTGGTTCATAGTGGATCAATTTGCCTGAAATTTTCAGCAAATTCCCGTTACAGTATCTAGTTTTTAACTATTATAGCGAGAACTGACATCTCTTTATCTTACCTCCCATAATGTATCTTTAATTGAATGTTAAATAAATAATCTGAGTGCATTTTAGCATGGATTGAGCCTTGAAAAATGATGTACATAAATTTGTCTGAAAATGCATAATTGGGTTTGGATACTTTACTAAAAAGTAAAGACAAATAGTATATAAAAAATTGCATACTATCTATTTGCCTTTGTAATCAGTGTTGCCATCCAACAAAATAGAAGTTATTGTGATAAATAAAGATTGCATAGTCAGCAGTAATCCAGTTAGCATAATCATTAGTCCTGTAATAATGACAGATAATGAATATCACAATTTGATTCTTCTCTCATATAAATTACTTTCAAGAGAGAGAGAAATGGAGTTGAACTTCCAATCAACACAAACTAACATATGGTTCAATTTTACTAATTTGCATGTGCGTAGGGGTCTTTAGTAGTGGTAGGAAACCAACGGACTAAGAGAAAATCACTGAGACTGCACAATTGACCCTACTCCTTGTCACGTACAAGTTTGGGATCAAAACCATCCTTATAATCTAAAGTGACCACTCGACCAACTAACTCCCCCCCTCCCCCACAAATCACCTTCAAATCATGACTCAACTTGAATATTAACATTGATATGATCACAATAAACTAATTTAATTAATATTTAGTTGTTTAAGTAGTTTAGAAATTATACAATATTAAAGTCTCTATGACTCTGCCATGCATGGAAGATTTTTGACATAAACATCCATTTTTAATCTCCATTTGTAGCTAAGTGAGAGTACTTTATATTTGAATTCAGTCTACTGAATGTATTCTTTCTATCTCTAGCATAAAGAGAGATAACGGCTAGAATCATCACTAATGATATCGCCATTAGTATAAAAAGAATAACTGTCCCTATTTTTACTTTGACAGACTGATACACAAGATGCGTAACATCTACTAGCCACAGGTCATTTAAATAACCATCTTGTTTGTGGCTATCATGTCCCAAACCACCAAATATATAAAACTTATTCCCAGAATAAAGCCAAACAGTAGCATCACATCTCCCACCAATTAGTGCTTCACTGCTTATCTCCCCTTTACTGGAAAATTTCACTTCAGCTTCACCTACTTTACTTCCTCCCATCCAAGACCATTGCACATGCTTTGTGTTGAACCTCCAGAAATCAGACAGAAGTTCGGATTTACCATACACTTCTGTATCCAACCCATCTCCTCCAAACAACCAAAGATTATTGGAAGAATCAAGGAACGGGGATGCACCTTGTCGACTACCCGGTTTATTGCCGTATTCAACACCATACAACCGACCGTATTGTCCCGGTGTCTGCGGTTTCGCGCTTCCCGATAATAGTTGCCATGTTTGTTCTGTTTCGTTAAACATCCATAAATCAGACATGTAACCCACAGTAGAATGTATTTGCTTCGAATTTAAAACAATATTCCCACCGAACATATACAAGACCTGTTTCCTATCAACCCAAGTTGTCGCTCCAGTACGCGGGGCCACTGTACCGTTCTTAACAACTATCTCTTCCCATTGTAAATTCCTGAAGGACATTTTCCACATGTCATTGAGCAGGGTTTTGTTATTGTTCCGTCCACTGAATACGAGCATACTATCATACAAACACCAGGATGCCATGTTGCCACGGAAACCGGGAGAAATGTACACATTAAATGATTCTGGAGGATCTGTGTATGAGGAATTTAAAACTGATGTTGAATTGCTTGAAGTGTTTATAGATGTGATGTTGCTATGGTTATCGTCAGAGTCTGTGTCGACGTCAACAGATCCTTTTAATAATAACCAAGTTCGTCTCTTGATGTAATAAACCCAAGTATCCTCCAGAGCTTCGTCATTTTCTCCTAGACCACCGTAAATTATAAAGGTGAGATTGGTCACACCACATCCGGCTCCTAAATACCTGGGTGATGGAGACTTCGAATGAGAAGAAGTACCCATACTAGCAACACTGCCTGGATGAACCAGACTCCAGGTATTGGTGAAGATGTGGTATCGCCAAAGATCATTCAATAAAATAGGTTTACCATTATTCAGATCTGAAAAACCTTTACCCCCGAACAACCATACATAGCCATTTGCATCTTTCCAGCTTAGGCTTCCACTCCTTCCACCAGGACCCCATATATCTGATGACTGATCAGCAGTGTCTTTTCCATTTAACCACGTCAATTCTACAAATAAAATAAAATATTTAATGTCGGAACTACGAGAAATGTTTCAATCACAAAACATTTATATATATAAAAGTGAGGTTTTTAGAAAGAAAAAACTAATTTCATCTGAGCTAGCGCTTTCACCGACGACGAGGATCATCAGCTGTCTAGTCGTTCAGATGGGACGAAAAACCGAGGTCCCGTGTACAAATTGGCATGCACGTAAAAGATCCCTTGCAGTTGGAATTTTAGCCCAGTTTAAGAGCAAAACAGTAGGACGTTAAACCCCATTTCATTTCATTTCATTTGCTGCACATCAAAGGTGAAATGAAATAGAGTTTAACGTCTACTTTATTGCATGAACTAAGCTTATGAAGACAGGCATATGCCTTGCAATTTGCTATGAGAGAAATTTTTCCTGGAGAGCGGAATTACAGCCTATTCTTTTCTGCTTCCAACAGGAGGCTAATGAAGACTGTCATATGTCACGCAGTGTGCTATGATGAGGGAAATTTTTCATGGACAGCAGTGGTTCCACCTACTCTTCTTTAAATACCAAGTGCAAAGGATTCTCTTACGTTCATGTGTGGGGATCACAATGGCTAAGTGGGTAAGACGCTGGTTCGCTAGCCTGGAGGTTGGGTGTTCGATCCCTGCATTGGCTGAGAAAGTTCATCCAGATTTTCCGGCGTGGTTCCCCCTTGTCAGTGATGCAGGACGGAGGGCCTGACAAGAACAGCTGTCTGGTCGTTCGGATGGTACGAAAAACCGAGGTCCTGTGTATACATTGGAATACACGTAAAAGATCCCTTGACAGTTGGAATTCGATATAAGAGTAGGCCGTAGTGCCGATGTCCGGGCAAAATTTCCCTCATTAGCCCAGTTAGGAGCAGAACAGTAGGACGTTAAACCCCATTTCATTTCATTTCACGTTCATGTGTACTTGATGCTGTTCCTTGTCAGCCCCTTATTCCTGCACCACTGACACGGAAAAACTTTAAGACCTTCCAAGGCCAACACCAGGACATCCCCTGATTAGTGAGCCAGTGCCTTATAAATGCACTATGCCACCGTGGCTTCACTCCACATTGTAATTACCTTGACTTGTAACAATACTAATTACAATTAGTATATAAATACTGACAGCTCTAGAAAACATTTCAGACTCTGGTAATACTGACAGCTCTAGAAAACATTTCACACTCTGGTAATACTGACAGCTCTAGAAAACATTTCACAGTAGATCTCAGGCTCTGGTAATACTAACACCTCTAGAAAATATTTCACAGTAGATCTCAGGCTCTGGTAATACTAACACCTCTAGAAAATATTTCACAGTAGATCTCAGTCTCTGGTAATACTGACAGCTCTAGAAAACATTTCACGCCCTGGTAATACTGACAGCTCTAGGAAACATTTCACCGCAGCTTTTACGCTCTGGTAATTACTCACATCCTTATTCTTTTCTGTCCCTGAAAAATAAAACAGTGATATGAATTTTATAAAAACAGATACATGTAAACAAAGATTTCACTATAACACAATAATAATAGTTGGGATCCATGACTACACTGGGGAGGGGCAGGGGGCTAGTGCTTCCCCATACTTTTCATCAAATTCCAACCGCCAAGGGTTCTTTTACATGCACGCTCAACACCAGAAGAGCTTTTTCGGTCAACACAGGGATTGATCCCGGGACCTCCTGGTTAGTGAGCCAGTGACTTACTTACCGAGCCAATGTGGCTTCCCTCTGCTGACTACCCGTGTATACTACCAAGACACATATATTATACACTGAACTTTAATTTGGCAATAGGCTATTGAAAGTTAATTGTGTAGATTGCCCTAATCAAATCAACTCAGATCAGCCTAATTCTTATTTTATTTTTACCCAAATCTAAGAGGTTTAGTTCCATTAATATATTAAATAATTTTAGTATTAGGTAGTAGGCCTATTGGCTAGTATTGGGCAAATCGTCCTGCTGATTTCACTCAAGGAGTACCATAAACATATCATGGGAGTAAGTAGTTCAGCTCTGAACGTAGGTCTCATTACACTCGACCTGTACGTTCTGGAACTGTCCTATTGGCTAGTATTGGGCAAATCGTCCTGCTGATTTCACTCAAGGAGTACCATAAATATATCATGGGAGTAAGTAGTTCAGCTCTGAACATAGGTCTCATTACACTCGACCTGTACGTTCAGGAACCGTCCTATTGAATCCTTGTCGAAAATCTAATCGCTACCCAGTCAATTTTACTGGGCAAATTGAAATCTTTGAAAAGTTGAGAATTCTCATTCAATTATTGCTTTGACTAGCCCTGACGAGCCAAATTATAATAATTTACAATCAATTTTTTTCAAAAATCCCAATTTTTTCCCCCAGACTTACCTAAATTTCGTTTCATCTTATATGGCCTTATATAGCCGAGTTCGTAAATTTGTGCGTTACCCTTTCAATGAAGTCCGCCAAGCCGGTTTGAAGACAGACATATTTTTTAACAGCATGTTGTGTCGCTCATACTGGTTCTAGCGAGGTAAGCGAGGTCTTATTTTCTCACTAAGATGTTTATTAATATTGTTCAGGCGTTCACAGGGACTGACACGCGACCGTTTAGCAGTAAAAAGTTGCCCAGTAAAATTGACTGGGTAGCCATTTGATTTTCGACAAGGATTCAATAGAACAGTTCCTGAACCAGCAGGTCGAGTGTAATGAGACCTACGTTCAGAGCTGAACTAGGGAGTAAGTAAGGTACCGGTAGACCTACCGCATGATCATTTTCAGGGACGTTCTCGTAACTATATTTATATGGTACCGCAATGGTGTAGCCCTATGCTTAAAACTGGTTAGATATCGTCTATAGGTGAAGAGGTATCAAGCTATTGGCTAGATCATTTAGATCTTATCTAGATGATACATGAATAATGCATTTTTAGCCAAATCATAAATGAAAAAAAAATGTAAACAAATAGCTAATATTAATTATGTCCAAGAAAAAGCTTACTAACGATAACACGACTTGGGCCTTAATCAACCCGTGGCTGAGCTTTGGATTTGGTGGGTGTTTTCGTTATGAAATTAATGATATTTTTTCTTAATAAAATCAAACAGATTCTAAGTCAGTAAGTGTAAAATCGTCCCCAAAAGAATTGTTGTGTTTTGGACAGTTTCCAAACAATACACCGGAAGTTACTTCATAATAGAGATACTCGGTTATCAATAAACAGAAAATGGCATATACCACGAAAGACTGGATAACGGAGTAAAGTGGGCTATTCCAAACATGGCGACCACAGACAAGAAATTAGTGAGATCCAGAAGTGGATTGCGGATGGTGTCCATGACTGACAATAAAACCAACTCTTTTACGTTGCCAGAGCCAGAATGGGTACCAGATAATGACGTGAGATGATTGTCTTTACTTTTGCAGACTTGCTAAAATATTTAAATGATGAAAAAATATGTCACTGCCCACTTGTTCTACTTTTTTAATTCAAGTTGTCACATTTATATTTTCTGACAGCTGATCGTACTTTGACAGATGGTTTACTTAGCCTGGCAGTTGTCTCATTAAATGTGCCCTGTTTAATTACTCTCACCTTGTCCGTCGTAGTAACATAGTGTTTAGAGTTCTTCTGAACGTCTTTACAACCCTCAAAACTCACTAGGTTGGAGACAGATGTGTAGCCTATTTGTTGTTGAACAAAATTGAGAATGGTAATAGGTATTATACAGTGGTGGTTAAACTTCATCTTGCTTTGGATTTTAGCTTTTATGCCATTGATAGATGTTCAAAATTTTCTTCTCAAAATCTTAAAGTTTTAAACTTCAAATTGAGAAATATTTATTGGTGCGTATACATATAAGTTAATATAACAACATCTTATGGCAAGATTAATGAATCATGATGGATTTTACATATTCTAATTCAGTTTGTCAGATGTAACATCTCTTGAGTTGACTAAAAAAAAAAGTGTGTCTAGTTGTTAAAAAAATATAAAATTGCATAATTAATGTAAAAAATCCCTTGATGGTTGGAATTTGATTTAGTGTAGATGGAAACACATCTATATGGGCAGAATTCTTGTATATCTTAAAGAGGTGAAAGGGAGATTGGGTGACCATGTGCCTTCTGTGTGCTGTAGATCTATGAAATCATCATCTATATGAAAGTCATAAATTTGCTCATGACAAGCCTTGATGTGTTTTCTCTGGGCTTTTCAGTTTTCTTTCTATTGCCAACTGAACCGTTCTTGCGGGTTCAGACTGTAAAGATATAGCACGTCTGTCACTCTCAAAATGACCTACTGGTTAATAGTGTTCAATCAATCAATCAGTGCAGTGTCTAGGACAACTGCCGGTTGGACAATTGCCGGTGAGGACAACTGCCGGCGGGACAACTGCAGTGCCGATGATATCATTTGTTTTTATACGCCCACATTTTCATGTGGACGTATTATGCCGTCGCATAAAAATCACGTTTTTAGCTTGTGGACACTAGATGTCACAATTTTTATCCGATTTTGTTGAAACTTGAAATGTAAGTTGATAACCCAAAGATCTCGGTTCCTTTCGATATTCGGGCATATCGGACCGTAACTTCCTGAATTATGGACACCCAAGTTGTACAAAAAATCACGTTTTTAGCTTGTGGACCCTATAGAGGTCATAATTTTTATCTGATTTAAAAAAACGTTTTATTATATCACCGTTACACCCTAAGGATGGCCGAGTTCGAATTTCGTGAAAATCGGCCCTAAATTGACAGACAAAATGGCCGCCGTTCGTTCTCAAATAGCGTAAAAATATGGTATATCAAGGTTGTGGACCCTATAGAGGTCACAATTTTTATCCGATTTTGTTGAAACTTGAAATGTAAGTTTATAACCCAAAGATCTCAGTTCCTTTCGATTTTCGCGCATATTGGACCGTAACTTCCTGAATTATGACTCCTGATTGTACGAAAAATCGTGTTTTTAGCTTGTGGACCCTATAGAGGTAATAATTTTTATCCGATTTAAAAAAACGTATTATTATATCACCGTTACACCCTAAGGATGAATGAGTTTGAATTTCATGAAAATCGGCCCAAAATTGACAGACAAAATGGCCGCCGTTTGTTCTCAAATAGCGTAAAAATATGGTATATCAAGGTTGTGGACCTTATAGAGGTCACAATTTTTATCCGATTTTGTTAAAACTTGAAATGTAAGTTTATAACCCAAAGATCTTGGTTCCTTTCGATATTCACGCATATCGGACTGTAACTTCCTGAATTATGGCCCCTGATTGTACGAAAAATCGCGTTTTTAGCTTGTGGATCCTATAGAGGTCATAATTTTTATCCGATTTAAAAAAACGTATTATTATATCACCGTTACACCCTAAGGATGTATGAGTTCGAATTTCATGAAAATCGGCCCAAAATTGACAGACAGAATGGCCGCCGTTCGTTCTCAAATAGCGTAAAAATATGGGATATCAAGGTTGTGGACCCTATAGAGGTCACAATTTTCATGCGATTTTGTTGAAACTTGAAATGTAAGTTTATAACCCAAAGATCTCGGTTCCTTTCGATATTCGCACATATCGGACCTTAACTTCCTGAATTATGGCCCCTGATTGTACGAAAAATCGCGTTTTTAGCTTGTGGATCCTATAGAGGTCATAATTTTTATCCGATTTAAAAAAAACGTATTATTATATCACCGTTACACCCTAAGGACGAATGAGTTCGAATTTCATGAAAATTGGCCCAAAATTGACAGACAAAATGGCCGCCGTTCGTTCTCAAATAGCTAAAAATATGGTATATCAAGGTTGTGGACCCTTTAGAGGTCACAATTTTTATCCGTTTTTGTTGAAACTTGAAATATAAGTTTATAACCCAAAGATCTGGGTTCCTTTCGATATTCGCCCATATCGGACCGTAACTTCCTGAATTATGGCCCCTGATTGTAAGAAAAATCGTGTTTTTAGCTTGTGGACCCTATAGAGGTCATAATTTTTATCCGATTTAAAAAACCGCATTATTATATCACCGTTACACCCTAAGGATGAATGAGTTCGAATTTCATGAAAATCGGCCCAAAATTGACAGACAAAATGGCCGCCGTTTGTTCTCAAATAGCGTAAAAATATGGTATATCAAGGTTGTGGACCCTATAGAGGTCACAATTTTTATCCGATTTTTTTGAAACTTGAAATGTAAGTTTATAACCCAAAGATCTCGGTTCCTTTCGATATTCGCACATATCGGACCGTAACTTCCTGAATTATGGCCCCTGATTGTACGAAAAATCGCTTTCTTTTTAGCTTGTTCTCTATCCATCTCTCGAAAATGTGGGCGTATCCTGCCTGGCAGCCGCTGGTTATCCGATTTTGTTGAAACTTGAATTGTAATTCATATCGAATTGTAATTTCCTGAATTATGGCCCTTGATTGTAGGAAAAATCACTTTCGTTTTAGCTTGTTTTCTATCCATCTCTCGAAAATGTGGGCGTATCCTGCCTGGCAGCCGCTGGTTCTGTATTTATGTCCTTTTTGTTAAACATAACCAATACTTAATAATTAAATATTCTTTATTATTATCATACAGATTCAGTTAATTAGCACTCACTAATATTAGTAAGTGCAGGAGGACCTCGCCGGCAGTTGTCCACCGGTAGTTGTCTTGCCGGCAGTTGTCCTGCTCCCAGAAACCCCATTGAAACCACATTCTTTTTATTCCTTCCTTTAATTTTGAGCTCTGTTAACCATTTAAATGTATATTTCAGTGTGGATATTGTATGCAGAGATCATGTCAATCTAAATTTGACTTTATAAGAAGACGGGTAAGTTTTTTCCAGCTTTTGATGTTTATTCCAGATGGTGTTCTGCTACTTCCAAACTATGACAAACCTGAAGATAATATTCAAAATTATATTTTTTTTTTGACTTATTGGCACACCAATGTTACTTTTCATACCTTCTACCGACATTATAGTGAAAAGTGCTATAGTGATATCCTGTATATTTGTTAACTCTCGCGTATGTCTGTAAAATTAAGGCAAATTTTATTGGCAGTCTGTCTTGTGTATTAGTTAATGTTTCAAATTTGTTTTTTTCAGCATCACTGTCGTCGTTGTGGCAACTGTTTCTGTAACAGCTGCTGTGACAACAAACTCCCTCTGCCAAGAATGAGTTTCGTTGACCCGGTTCGTCAGTGTAATAAATGTGCAGAAATCACTAAAAAAGAAAATGAGTTTTTTGACAAACATGTAAAATTGTTGTTGAGTGGTAAGTTGACATTTTCGATGTGATACACTTCCAATAGTCTTAAATTGCAGTAAAATATTGTGAAAAAGCAATGGTATTGGGTGGCCTCTTGCACTTTCTTTCCGTAAAGAGTAATTACCTTTGCAAATGTGCATTCTGATTAAAATACAGATCTACATTTCGTTTCCTTTTTTTATACTTTCGATGGCCTACACTGCATGAATGTCTGACCAGTTGTACTGGGAGGTCACGTCAGAGGTCATATGAGCAGTTTTTGACCCTATGACATCAGACATTTGATTAACCAATCAGCATTGATGTTTCTAGTGGATTATCCACAGTTCCATGCACCTTACGCCAAAAGCTTGCCTTAACAGACCATTTCATTGACTAATCCCTCACGTCATTCAGAACATGTCAGTTTTAACATCTCTTCCAGATCCTAGTGTAGTAAAGACAAGTAAAACCAAATTTTGAACTATAAAAAACAAAACAAAGTAGGATCTGTGTTTTAATCAGATTGGCAAATGTGTGGTGATTAATTAGATAGTGGACTAATTATTGTAGTTAGTAACATTACAATGTCATTTATCTGATAAAAGGTGTCTCACTTCTTTGTTAAACTCACAGGAAGCCAATAAAGCAATCTACGATCTGAGTCATCTACTTTATTAATCAGAAATTTTGATTTATTACCAACTTCTAAACACCATTTGTTGACATCCTTTATAATTTTTATTTGACTTGTCTATACAATCTGATTAAAACACAGATCCTATTTCGTTTCGTTTTTATAGTTCAAAATTTCGTTTTATTTGTCTTTACTACACTAGAATCTGGAAGAGTTGTTATATAGCCTGCATTTTAGATGGCGTGAGGAATTATCTAATGAAACCATCTGTTACGGCGACTTCTTGGCATGCGATACACGGAACTGTGGGTAAACCACTAGAAATGTCAACGTCAAGTTGTCAACGCTGATTGATTAATCAATGTCTGACGTTAAAAGCCGTTTGTACGACCTCTGACGCGACCTTTTATTACAACTGGTCAGATCTTCATGTAGTAGAGGCCATCAAAAGTATAAAAAAACAAAACGAAATATAGATCTGTATTTTATTCAGATTGCTTGTCTATATTATTAATTAGTGTTAAATTGTGGTGAGTTTATGATAGGTGAAGGAGATGATTACATTCGTTATAATTTTAATTTGACTGGTCTATATTATTAATTAGTGTTAAATTGATGATAGCTGAAGGAGATGATCACATCTGTTTTAATTTTAATTTGACTGGTCTATATTATTAATAAGTGTTAAATTGATGATAGCTGAAGGAGATGATCACATCCGTTTTAATTTTAATTTGACTGGTCTATATTATTAATTAGTGTTAAATTGATGATAGCTGAAGAAGATGATGACATCCTTTATAATTTTAATTTGACTTGTCTAAATTATTAATTAGTATTAAATTGATGATAGCTGAAGGAGATGATCACATCCGTTATAATTTTAATTTGACTTGTCTATATTATTAATTAGTGTTAAATTGATGATAGCTGAAGGAGATGATCACATCTGTTTTAATTTTAATTTGACTGGTCTATATTATTAATAAGTGTTAAATTGATGATAGCTGAAGGAGATGATCACATCCGTTTTAATTTTAATTTGACTGGTCTATATTATTAATTAGTGTTAAATTGATGATAGCTGAAGGAGATGATCACATCTGTTTTAATTTTAATTTGACTTGTCTATATTATTAATTAGTGTTAAATTGATGATAGCTGAAGGAGATGATCACATCTGTTTTAATTTTAATTTGACTTGTCTAAATTATTAATTAGTATTAAATTGATGATAGCTGAAGGAGATGATCACATCCGTTATAATTTTAATTCGACTTGTCTATATTATTAATTAGTGTTAAATTGATAATAGCTGAAGGAGATGATGACATCCTTTATAATGTTAATTTGAATTGTCTATATTATTGATGATGTTTTGTAGGTGGTGAGTTTATGATAGCTGAGGGAGATGATGACAATGAAATTAGTACATCCTACACTTGTAAACTGGCTTCTGATCAAAGGTAGGAAATAATAAAATCAAATGAGGTTTAACGTTTTATGCTTCTGCTCATCCAGACTAATGATGACGGCGCACGTATCGTGCAGAGGGTTGGATGTCGGAATGGTTAGTGTGTTGTATCATTAGGTCTGTCATTGAGTCAACTGGCATGGTTTCGATTCTCTGCTTGTATGTGACAAGGAGTAGGGTCCTCTGTCCAACCTTGTGGGTTTTTTCCGGGTCCTCCGGTTTTCTCCTATTGCTAAAGACCCCTACGCGCAAGCGAATTATTGAAATAAAATTGAATCATGTGTTAGTCACGAAATGACCTAGTTTGTGTTGAGTAGACATTAAACCCCATCTCTCTCTCTCTCCATACCAGTAGTTACAATAGTTTATAATGGTCCAGGTGTATATTTATTTTCATCTGATGAGTGAAACCATATGAAAAATGCCATGACAATTTTTATTGTAACCTTTGTGTTTCATTTTAGATATTTAGTATTTGAAGGAGAACATTCTAAAATGGATTCTATAGGTCTAGATGAGATTGACACAGTGAAGGTCATAGCTTCAGAAACTAACCAGCAAGGTATGTTTACATGTTTCAGTTTGCCTGTCCACATCCCTGACTTGTAATTAATTGCCTTTTAATTCATTATTTAGGCCAAACCTATTTAATTTTTAATTCTTAGGGGTCTTGATACAGAGATAGACTTGTTAGTCTCAAACAGAATATTCTTTTTATATGGCTTAATGACATCTTTTTATATGGCTTAATATGGCTTAATGACATCTTTTTATATGGCTTAATGACATCTTTTTATATGGCCTAATGAAATCCTTTTTATACGCCCACATTGAAATGTGGTCGTATATTGTCGTCGCCCCCGTCCATCCGTCGGTCCGGCGTCCACAATTGCTTGTGGACGCTCTAAAGGCCAAAGTTAATATCCGATTGACCTAAAATTTATACACAGTGTTTAAGGTCTTGAGACGAAGAAGCCTATTGATTTTCAGCGATTTCCGATAATTACTGCCAGAGTTATGGCCCGTGATCACTTCAAAAAATCTTGTGGACGCTCTAGAAGCCAAAGTTAATATCCGATTGACTTTAAATTTATACACAGTGTTTAAGGTCATGAGACGAAGAATCCTATTGATTTTCAGCGATTTCCGATAATTACTGCCAGAGTTATGGCCCTTGATGACTTTGAAAAATCTTGTGGACGCTCTAGAGGCCAAAGTTAATATCCGATTGACCTTGTTGTTGACTACCCGGACTATTTAGCTACTGTGGGCGTATGTTTTGTTGCCTGGCAACCTATCTTTATATGGTCTAATGACCTAGATTTGACGGGATCCAAACTCTGTTAAACAAATTTTGCAGTGTTTATAAGTTCCTCAATAACGGGTGGTATACAAAAACAGGACAAGAAAATCAAATAATTAATAGTCTTATCTTTCTTATTAAACAATATGTTACAATTATACATAAAATATATGGATTTGTGCTGATTACAATTTATGTTGTATTTTACTTGCACTCAGATGTTCAAGGTAAATAAGAATTCTAACTAAAAATTATAACTCAAATAAGTCATAAAACACTTCCATGTTTTATAAAAAAACAAGTCCTGTATTTTAGTTGATGATATTATATAACATATGATTGTCGTTCAGTAAAACTCATTCAACCATTGCACAATAAAGAACTCATGGCAGTTGGAATTCAAAATAAGTGTTGTCTGTAGCATCGATGCATATGCAAAATTTCCCTCATGCCCATTTTTATTAGCCCAGTCAGTGCAGAAAAATAGGACTTTAAACCCCATTTCATTCCATTTCCACCAAACATTTTTAGTTACTAAAATTCTTTATGGTCAACATTTGGCAGCAAAATATGTGAAGGATAATGAATATTTTACAACCTGTCTGTGGCCATTTAATGTCTTATGTATGGTATATTTTATTATTTGTCTGTGATAGTTGGTCGTCTTAAGTTTTGTAAAGTCATTTACCGTTATCTTCTTTTGTTTTGAGTATTTTACAAGCCCTCTGTCAGTGGTAGTTAGTAGTTGGGAGTTTGGTAGAGTTGTTAAACATCTTAAGTTTTTTGTGTCTGTGGATGTTTTGTTTTGTGTGGTTGTTTTACACTGTATGTTTTGGGAATTTTGATCTTTAGTCGTATAAGAACCCTCGTCGACACATCGCCAGAAACAAATCCTTCAAGTAACTTGTATTCCATATAATTGTGTCATGTGTTATAATATTGTCTGTTTTGTGTATTTTACTCTCTGTCTGTGGTTGTTTAACATGGTGTGCTTTGTAAAATACACAAAACATACACAAGTCAAACAACTAAACAGCCAGTAGTTGTTTGACTCAATATGTTTTGTGTATTTTACAGTCAGTAGTTGTTTGACTCAATATGTTTTGTGTATTTTAAGATCTGTAGTTGTTTGACTCGATATGTTTTGTGTATTTTAAGATCTGTAGTTGTTTGACTCGATATGTCTTGTGTATTTTAGTGTTAGTAGTTGTTTGACTCGATATGTTTTGTGTATTTTAAGATCTGTAGTTGTTTGACTTTGTATGTTTTGTGTATATTGTAGTTACTTTACATGGTATATTTTGTGTATTTCAGGTTTTAAAGTGGGAACTGGTGTAGCCATCAGACATAAAGACAGTTTTGGTGATTACCAAATTCTGAAGATGGAGATTAAAAAAGATGAAAGCTCAAAATCCGGGAAGATGTGGATTGCAGCCATGTTGAAGGTAAGGGCAGTTACTCTTGGTTTTTCTGAGAAAACAGGGGACTATTAGAATAGGTTTGTCTGACTGCTGGCTGTCCAAATGTCTAGGGTTCTGTTATCTGCACGTCAGTGTGTACATGTGACCTCACTTTTTCATTCTGAACGACTAGACGGTTTTCCTTGCCAGGTCCGTGAGGTCAGGTCTAAATATTAAGGCCACCTGCAGATTTTGCCAAGGGCACGAAATGTAAGCAGTTCTAGCACTAACTGTGACCCCAGACGTAGACCTAGCACCTAATCCTTTGCTTGATAAAGACGAGAGAGCCCTCGTTGAAACATGCCAGAAATAAGTAACTTGTATTCCATATAATTGTGTCATGTGTTAACCCATATCTCGTCAACAATCACATATCCTAACCCAATTTACATCTTAGACCTTGACCAAATCTGCAGGTGGTCTTCATATTTAGACCTGACTGCAGTTCTGCACTGTTGACAAGGGGGAAACACGCAGAAAAATTCTGGCTGGTGAATCAATATTTTATACACTGAGCCACCATAGCTCCCTGTATCCAATTATAGCTGGGTAGACTGGAATACACTGAGAAACTGTAGCTCTTGTACTCAATTACAGCTGGGTAGACTGGAATACACTGAGAAACTGTAGCTCTCGTACTCAATTACAGCTGGGTAGACTGGAATACACTGAGAAACTGTAGCTCTCGTACTCAATTATAGATGGGTAGACTGGAATACACTGAGAAACTGTAGCTCTCGTACTCAATTACAGCTGGGTAGACTGGAATACACTGAGCCATGGTAGCTTTCTGTACCCAATTAGGCAATTAGAGCTGGGTAGACAGGAATACTAGGATGATGGATATTATAGAGAGAGGGAAATGGGGTTTAACATCCACTTGACACAAACTAGATCATTTTATTAATTCTCTTGTGCGTAGGGGTCTTAAGCAGTGGGAGGAAACCGAAGGACCCTACTCCTTATCACGCTCCTTGTGACGTACAAGCGGAGACTAGAAACCACGCTACTTGACTCAATGACAGACCTTATGATCCAACAAGCAACAGTAAACCATTCGGCCACCTAACCCGGATGGGTCCTTAGAAAGACAGAGTGAAGTCACAGATGGAGCTCAATAACCACTGTTGTATATCTTATTTTTTCAGGCGTTTCGACTGATTATGGAAGCTCGGACAGGAAAACCGTGTAATACACCAGTTGCCTAATATCATCATTGAATTATAAATGACTGCATATACACTGGAGAAAAAAAAGTCCATGGTGTCAAAAATTAAAGACTATCAAATCATTGAGACAAAAAAGAAATTGGTGAACATGGCAAGTTTAGGTACCAGTTTTTGATAATCAGAATTGTTGAGGGGTGGGGGTGGGAGTAAGGGTTCAATTTATTATATAAATTGATTAAGTGCCATTTTAGTATTTGGTCACATTTACTTTTAGCTACCAGTTTTTGATAATCAGAATTGTGGGGGGTGGGGGCGGGTCAATTTATTATATAAATTATTCAAGTGCCATTTGAGTAATTGGTCACATTAAATAGAACACAAACATTATGGAATACAATTACTGACTTTAATAGATGCAACGTTTCAACACTGTGCTTTATAATGACAAGCCACACTTGTACGTGACAAGGAGTAGGGTCACCTGCCTCCAACCTTGTGGGTTTTCTCCGGGTCCTTCGGTTTCCTCCCACTGCTACAGACTCCTAGGCGCAAGCAAATTATTGAAATAAAATCTAACCATATTAGTCCCGAAATGACCTAGTTTGTGTTGAGTGGATGTTAAACCCCATTTCTCTCTCTCTCTCACTCTCTCTAGCTTTATAACACAAGAGAATCACTAACTGCTGAAACATAGCAAGAATTGTTTTGTTTGATAACAGTAGAATCATGATTAAATTAAGCACTTGTATTCCATAAGGTATTTTGTATTTTATATTTATGCAATCTGCTTTGATCTTATTAGAGATATTTACCAAAACTGACTATAGCATTTCATTGCTCCACATCCTTGATACACAAGCTCATTAGCAAGAGGCTAGAGTAGGCCATTTCACATGCTGACACCAATTGTTCCTAGAGATTGCTAGAGTAAATATAGATCTAAACGTAATAATTAGATCTGACACGATTACTAAGAGTAAATATAGATCTAAAGGTAAATTATTAGATCTGACGAGATTGCTAGAGTAAATATAGATCTCTATGTATAATATATAGATCTGATGAATGAATTTTGTTGTAGCTCTCATTTTGGTCAGTTTATCACTAACTGCCTTTGAAAATATCTGGCTTACAAATCTCTTCCGTTAGTCAATTTGCATCAGAGAAAATTCAAATGGCTTGATTCAAAATGTTCTAGTTCTTTGATAATCGTTCAAATCAATTTAATGCAGGAAGAGCCAGAATATTAATTTATATGGTCTTAGTAGCCTTAATATGCAATCTAATATACAGTATTTTATTGTAAGAAAAGTGTCATTTTTCAAAAGCTTGAAGTAAACGGGATGAAACATCATATTTGAATTTTTAGCCCTGTGATGATACTATGTGTAAATAATATATATATATATCATTGTAATAAATCATATTTTATATTAAAATCATCATCTCATCACAACAGTTGTATATAGTCAAATGTATATTTTTGTATTATAAATATCGTATATTTAATAATTCATAGAGGGATTTTCATTTATACTAAGGTACTGTTTATCTAAACACATGTAACATAGATTTTTTTTCTGAAACATATAGATATTTGTTAGATTTAAAAATTTAAAAAAAAAATGAACATTGGTGTTTTTTAAAAATGAACTTACCCATTGTTTATATGATATGATTGGAAAACTGACTTTATTCCCACAACATAGATTGGATTTGAATTTTTATAAAAATAAGCTTAAAATTAGTGCTTTTTATAAATGACTTAGGTTATTGTCTAAGTTATGGTTGTATAGATTATTGGAAAACAAACGAACACAAAAGTTTAAGTCTTTAAAGTAGATTTACGATGCATTTGTTCAAAATTAAAGTCTATTTGAAAGTTTTCATGAATATCATTTCTTACCAAACAGGTGATCTGTTATATGACTCATGTTTTGTTAGGTGATAGAGAAATGTATTCTTCCCGTTATTTTTAAAAGATATTTAAAAGTGCTTGAAATTAAAGTATAATATACAAGTTTTCGGAGTGCTTGACAATTACCTATGTACCTGACATAATCATTTGGAAAACCTGTGTTAATTTGCGAATTCTAAACCTATTTAGTAGATAGTAGTTCTTTTGTTTAACTGGTTGTGGTTTAAGTTGAAAGCATTCCATTTTGTGCGATAAATAGGTTGATAAGTTCATTTATATATGAAAAAGAAACAGAAATGTGTAGAAGTTTAACATATGTTTGAAAAACATAACATATATACTTAATAGAATTATATGAGAATGGTCATATAGCACCAACACCCATCCTTACAACTTCTAAAGGCTATTCCCATTCCCAAACTTAAACTGATGGAAGAGAACTGTAGCAGATCTATATCTGACATAACATTTCCCAGGAAATTGAAGAAGTGAAAGATATCACATTCCTTGCTATGTCACTCAGGAACTAGGCAATCTTCTACTTGTGGTAATGCTCTTCAGATAATGCCTAATAAGGCCTGTTTTCCATTTGCACATTTTGTGTCATTTCTCTGCGCAATTTTTTTTGAAAAAAATTTGGTCTGATGCAAGTCTAATGGGCCTGTTTCCATGTAACCAGCGAAATCGCGTACATGGCAAACATGTTTAAGGCTCAGCGCCCAACATGGCCGTAATGACGTCATCCTCAATTCCTGGGTCATATAGTATCTCGTACTTATGTTTTTGTACATGTACATTAGTTCACCAAAGATGTAAAATAAAGGAGGGTGCTACTTTCAGTTTATCTCATAAATTGTATATAAAACTTGGAAACAATAAAAAATGGCTATTTGTATTCTATATAAACAAAAGTTGTTCTACACTGTGCTTTCTTTGACATTATTTTAATGTTGATATGAATTCACCTTACAATGTCCTGAGCTTATTCGTGATTGTGAACTCTATTTAGATAAATCATGGTTTTGAAATGCATGATCATTCAGGTACTCATCTTCTGTGGACATTGTATACAAAAATATTAAAGATGCATTATATCAGATCTAAATCTGTCTACTGCAGGTCTTCATTTTGGCTTCAATTGTTACATCAACTATTATTTAGACATTTATTAACATGACCCGCCTATAATCAACTCTCTGGACCATAGTATGGCTGAGATTTAAATGGATTAGAACACCTGCAAGATTTAAAAATTTAACGATAAAATGGATAATTGAGACTTGGTCTCAGTTGTCAAGTACCGTTGCTACGATAACAAACGATCTCCTCTCCATCTTCAAACTCAGACAGTCATAACCACTCCCAGAATAAAGTAATTTGAATGAAATTTTGAATTGTTTTCATTTTTCATTGTCTATTTTTGAACTATTAGTGCAAGAACGGCTAGCTCTTTCTCTAAATCTTACATAATGCATCTTTAAGGATGATTGAAAATGAATAATGCAATTTTTAAAGATGGTATTGTAAAGCAATAAATTTATGTGTTGTGTGAGAAGTTACTGCTACAGGTGAAAGATCGCGTTCATTTATTGTTTTGTGGGTTTTTCGTTTACACAACCTGTGCCATGATTATTACTTTAGTTTTATCAACCAATGTTAATGTAGTGTAAATAGTTGTATCATAGAGAGGGAGATAACTCTTCTATTCTTTAGTAATATTTTATTTCTAACAGTGCCAATATACTGCTAATATTTTATACAATATTAAATCTGGTGTCCATCCATATATTTTGCTCATTATACAAGGACCTCTTTTCCAGAACAAGATATCTCCATTATGTGGAGTAGATTCGGTGGAGGTGCCACTGTTCAGGCAAAATTCTCCCCACAACGCAGCCACTGTAAAATTATATTAGTTTAAAATGATCTAAATAAAGTCTTAGCAAAACATTAAGCCTTATTTTCCAGACAATTGTTTTTGAAAACCTCAAAAGCCTATCTTAACAGGACTATAGGTATATTTAAATTATAATTAAATTTATGTCTTCTCAAATTAACAAGTTTCGCAAATGTGATATTAAAAATGATATTGAAAAAGAGAAGTTTTAAATTGTAGTTGTTGAGTTTTTGGAAAAGAGTTGTTCATATATATTCCATTATATTTCTGTCCATTTTAGTGCTGTTTTTAGATGTTGGGTATCTTTCCCTTTAAAATAATGTTGGTGTAAAAATAATGTCCTTCTTTTTTGGGGGGAACATTTCAAGTGCTTTGTGAAACTGGATCCATTTCTTTTCCTCTTTTTTTTAAAAAAAAAAAATACATATACATATAACCTTAATATTATTGGAAAGTAACCAATATTTAATTTTACCCCTTAGAACTAAGGATTTATTTGATTTGGCCTAAACATGGTCATTTGTCTGTATCCCTTGGCAGTCGCAAAAGATTGATTAGTTAGTTGAAGGTATAAACCTTTAATACCTGTATCCATTTAGAGGATAATTATATTTAGAGGATTGTACAACATTTCACAGTTATAAATTCTACAGTCATGGTGTCATGTACATGGCAGAGTATGTTTAATTTTTTCAAAAACATCTAATATACTTTAACTGTAAATAAACAAGACACACAGTTCTATGAAATACAATTACTTTAGTCAAGCATGACAGTAACTATATTCTATAGAATAATGGATTTCAAGTTTAGATCAATGGTACTATATTTTTATTTAGAAAAAGTATTATTAAATACATATTTAGCCTAAAAGTATTAGTATCTCTGGTGTTTAAAAAGAATAATTATAAAAAATATATTATTTCCTTTTATTGCTGGCACACAGATATTATGTACTGTTTAATTGTTTAGATGCAAATTACAAAGATCTTAGTTTTGTTTTTAAGAACTCTGCCCATATATAAGTAAGAATATGTGTATATCATCTATGTATCCGATATATAATTGTATATTTAGGATAATAATACATGTATATCATCTATGTATCCAATATATAATGTATATTTATTGTATATCTACTAGTATATATTATTTGCAATAAACTTATTCACTCTAAATATATCTACAGAATTTGTAAGTTTATGGTGGACAGCCAGTGTATAGTTAAATTTTATTATCACGAACTCGAAAATCCAGGAACTCGAAATTCCAGGTTATGTCGTGGTCAGCTGTCTCTCCCTGTAATAATAAAGTCCCAAAAAGAACAAGTTGTCAAATATGAGATGAAGAAACCTGTTGATTTTCATCGATTTTTTGTTTTAAATGCCAGAGTTATTTCCCTTTGTTATGATATCTTAGATAACATTTGCACCAAATTAGAGATCCCCTGATAGCCAATCACATTGCATCATAGTTAAGAAACCTCATTTCTTGCTCCTCATTTTATTTTTTTACAGAGCGAAAAAAATAAAATAAAATAAAAATAAAAAATGGCATCAGTTTGACTAAGAAGAGTGTACTATGTTTGATGGAATCCTCTCTCTCAAACACAGATATGAATTTGCCACGGACCCTGAAATACGCCTACAACTAGCAAGGTCGCCATTGCATAACAAACTGAATTTTGATAAGAGTTGATGTGGCCCAAAGAGTATTAAATGTGGGTGTATAATAGGTAACAGAACTTAATTACCGAACGGTTGATTCATAAACTGCAATTAATACTATTTAAAGATAACAAATTTTTATTTCAGACAAACCATATCAAACAATGTACTAACATGCCTTTCATTAGAGAAAATAATTTGTGACCGCTAATTTTTATCAAACTCAATAAAATTAGATTATTAGAATTAAATTGTAGCTAGTTAGTGTTTTTATTTAATATAACCAATTACAATAGTCTGATATTAACCTTTATTATATACAATTACATTGCAGTTTTGCCAGAGGTTTATTGTTAATAAACGACATGCTTCTGTTATATTCGATTATTTATTTTATCGTGCGGTTGTTAAAGATGTCAAAATTTCCCTTATATAATAAACTATGCAGCATTTATATAGTATTTATCTTATCGTGCGGTTATTAAAATTTACCTAATATAATAAACCATATGCAATTTATATAATAAACAACCAAACAATTTTGTTCAACCAAACAAACGACCCAAACGACTGTCCACAACACAAAACAACTGCCCGCAAACAGACAACCCAGCTGTCTACAACCTAACAAATTTCCCACAATAAACAACTGCCTGCAAATAAACAAAACAACTGTCCACAACTAAACAACCGCCAGCAAACAACACAACTGGCGGGAAAAAAACCAACACACATGTCCACAACCAAACAACCACCAGCAAATAAACAACACAACTGCCTGAAAAAAAAAAACCCAACACGACTGTCCACAAACAATTATTTCCACTGACAACACAACTGTCCACCAGCAGCACGTGTATTCACAAACAAACATCACAATTAAGGGACTATCAACACAACTTTCACAAACGAACATACAACACAACCGGCCACGGAAAAACAACACACCCGCTCATAAACAACCGAATTATTCACAGACAATCAACCCCATTATCTATGGACAAACAATTAGTTTTCCACAGACTAAAAACACGATTGTTAACAGACTAACAACACAACTATTCACAGACTAACAACACGATTGTCAACAGACTAACAACACAACTATTCACAGACTAACAACACAATTGTTCACAGAGTAACAACACAACTATTCACAGACTAACAACACAATTATCCACAAACAACACAATTGTTCACAGACTAACAACACAATTGTCCATAGAGTATAGAGTATGCTTACGCTTTCTAGATCACTTGATAAAACTTTTCACAGTTCACATAGGTAACGTATACCCTGTTCACTATTGTTGTGGACATATCCTGATAAACTTGCACGCTTAACCTAATTATTCAATTTGTCTATCTCTGTTGATCATATTACCCTAGTCTGTTCCGAGTTTATCATTCTACAATTACAAATGTTATCGATTAAAACCATCCTAACCCAAATGAAATTGTTTTTAACGTGTTACTTTTCTGCACCCAATCGGCTAATGTAGATCACATGCAGTGTGATATGCGATGTATGGGGAACTTTTGTTCGACAGTTCCACTTTCGCTTATATTCTCTATGGGATTCCAACTGATAAGGATTCTTTTACGTACATCACAGTGACCTACACGTGGTTGCCTCGGAGTCGTATGCCTCACTTATACTATACCTGAATCGTAGAAAAACAAAATAGTGTACTTTTAATGAGTCAATTCTGTACGCTTTCTGGTCAATGCTTAGATGTACTTATTGTGTTCCTTATCCAGCACATGCTGGGCTAATGAAGACGGGCATACGACATACACTGATACAGTGTGCGATGAGGGAAATTTTATTCGGACAGCAGCACTATATATACGGCCTACTCTAATATCAAATTCAACTGCCAATGGGATCTGTTACGTACACGACAATGTGTCCACGGGGCCTCAATCCGAACTATTCGAACGAAGGTGCACCTTTTCGTTGCCAGGCCTCCAATGAGTCGGAAGGACGATCAGTCGTCTCAGAAGACATCGCAAATTATTTCAAGCTTTAAAATCTTGCTTACTTAAGCGCCACATTAAAGGAATGAAATTAAATGGGGTTACACGCCCCAGGTTTCTGCACCAACCGGGATAATGAAGATGGGCCATCGCCATGTGGTGTACATGGATGAACATTATGCGCAGTTGTGCTTTTATGTGCACGCCATGGGGTAAACCGGACTACCTTTTTCTCATCCCATCCGAACGACTAGACGCTAACCCTTACCAAAGAAATTGCCAATGCCGTCTCCTGCATCACTAATACGGGGAAACCTGCACGCCAGAAAATCCCAAAGATCTTTCTCGGCTAACACCGGGATCGAACCAGTAAACCCACCTGGTTCGTGAGCCAGCGCCTCCTTCGCTGAGCCACCATGACTGAGCCACCACGGTACAGACTTTTGGGCGGAATTTTAGAAACTTTTTTTCTGCTGAGGGCTTTCTAGCAAAATCATATAAACAATGTATGTACCCAGTGCGCTTGACATTTAGTATGTTTTGAAGATATTAATAAAAAATATATATATATATACATACATGCAGATGATGAATGCAAATTTTAGAATGTGCAGAGAAACTCAATCGGTCTCCCGTGTTAATATTCTATTACGCCATTTATGTAAATGCACATATTGACTGTTGATTTGTCTGGAGCGAGTTGTTTTATAAAACTAGGTTATAGGAAAAGCGTATAAAATTATCCGTGGACCGTGCTATTTGTACAGTTGATGACTGTCAGTAAATCCCCATATTCCTAAAGCAATGGCCCGAGAAATCCCTCCCTGGAATTAGGTCTAATCAATCGAAACACCCCGAGAAGTATGGTAAATCCCTGTAGATCCAGGCAGTGATTAGTGAGCAATGATTTCCAGTTACAATTTACTTTATTAAATAGAATTGATGAAGTGATGATGGTGACCACTTAATAAAAGAGTGTTATATAAAATAATTTATATTGATTGACGACAGATTGATTTGATGAAAACTACAAATGAGTTACCGTGTGGACGAGTTTGTAATAATAGGATAAACGACATAATTTTAAAAGTAGGTTGCTAAACGTAAACAACAACCCTGGTTCCGTTTGTGTGGGTTGCCACCTTGGATAGCAGGGGGAATTGGATGCGACACGGATAGTATGCTTAGTCATTCGGTTGGTATGTAAAACCGAGATCTAGCCATTTATAAAAAAAAAGTGTAAAAAATGAAATGAAATGGGGTTTAACGTCATACGTACTGTTCTGCTGCGAACTGGGCTAATGATGACGGGCATACGCCATACAGTGTGCTATGAGGGAGATTTTGCCCGGGCAGCGGCACTACGGCCTACTCTTCTATCAAATTCCAGCTGTCAAGGGAGCTTTTACATGCATTCCAATGTATACACGGGACCTCGTTTTTTTCGTCCCATCCGAACGACTAGACAGCGGTCCTTGCCAGGCCCTCCGTCCTGCATCACTGACAAGGGGGAACCACGCCGGAAAATCTGGATGAACTTTCTCTGGCAATGCAGGGATCGAACACCCGACCTCCAGGCTAGCGAGCCAGCGTCTTACCCACTTAGCCATCGTGATCCCCAAAAAAGTATAAAGGACACAAGTTTAAAAGTAGGTTACTATAACAAGAACGGTGTACGGTTTGTTTGGGCTAATGCAGTCTGGTCCTTCTGCACTTTGTATTGGATTGGGGTGTGGGGGGGGGGGTGGATGGGCGAATGGTTAGCACGTGCGTGCTGTATCGTAAGGCCTGTCATTGAGTCAGCTGGCGTGGTTTCGAATCCCCGGTTGTACGTGACAAGGAGTATAGGATCGCCTGCTAAAGACCCCTAAGCGCAAGCGAATTATTGAAATAAAAAATTAAACCATGTTAGCCCCGAAATGACCTAGTTTGTGTCGAGTGGACGTTAAACCCCATTTCTCTCTCTCTCTCTCTCTATTGGATTGGAGTGGTTCCGATCCCAAGCTTGTACGTGACAAGGAGTAGGGTCGCCTGTCCAACCTCGTGGGTTTTCTCCAGATCCTCCGGTTTCCTTAGACTGATAAAGACCCATGAGCGCAAGCGAATTATTGAGAAAAAATACCTTTACCATTATAGTTTAGTCCAGAAATGACCTAGTTTGTGTCTTGTGGACATTAAACCTATACCTTTCTTTCTGCTCACACCACATCTGTTTTCGGAACTGGCCGAACTGTGACATGACTCAAATCCGTCGTTTCAAATTACGTTAATTCGGAACTGACATTTTGAGGAGTTTGTTATTTTAGGTGTTAAACAGTAGATTCACAAGTTCATTATTCCAAAATATATCAAAAATAATATAAACAAAACACACAAAAAACTCAGTTTTTATTTCCGCACTCAAAACACTTCATTGCTAATAAGTCGATGAACTATTCGTCGATTAAACATAAACAATATCCTATGTTAACGTCATCAAGATTTAGAGATAAAATATGAAGTTTTTATATCAACAGTGGTATTTTCATCGAGAGATTT